CGTACTGCTTCTGGGTGATCGGGACCAGCTCCCTCAGCTTCGAGTCGACAAACGCGCTGCGTACAACTTCATGGTATGCGCATCGAACTAGTCCCCTCGGTAGTTGGAGCAATCCATTGCGTCGCCCTTCTGTTTGAAGATGGGGACGATGGTACTTGCTCTCCTGACATCCGGTATCTTTCCTTCCACTGTTACCTTGTTCGGGATGCTGGTGAGCTACCTTATGTCGTACTTTCCGAGCGCCTTCCATGCCTCGATTGGCACCCCATGTGGGCCAACCGCCTTTCCAACCTTCATCCTCCCAAGTGCACACCTAACCTCATCCTCAGTCCAGAGTGCGATGGGACCAGCTGTGGCCTCTGCCCGTGAGTCGTTCTTATGGGAGAACCTCGTTCAAAAGTCCCCTGAAGTACTCTTCCCACCTCCTCTTGACTTCGGCTGGCTTCCTTAGGATGACACCATCGCTACCTCTTTTACACCTTTCACCACCCTGATGTCTTGGGTAGCACGATGCCGGGCCTTAGCCAGTTTGAGTACGACTTCTCTGCGTTTCTGCTTTCCAACTTCCCGTACAAGGCGTCCATTTCCGTGTTCTTGGCTTTGGCGACAGCAGCCTTAGCGAGCCTCTTGCAACTCTTGTAGGTGGCGAGGTCTTCGGGGCTCCGGGTCTTCTGCCAGTGCTTGTATGCCTCTTTCTTTGGCTTCACGACTCGCTGGACCTCCTCGTTCCAGAACCACGCTGCCCTGTCTCCTCTGAATCCATCTAGCGTCTCGCCCAGGACCTCCTTGACACATCGCAGGATGGTTTCAGCCGCGTTGCCCCAAGTCAGCTGTATTGACCCGTTAGAATTGGGACCGAATTCCATTATCCAAACGCAACAACAGGACTAACCTCGAAGCGAATGATCTTTGAAACCCTCCGGTACCTTTCAGAGAGCGCTAATCTTCTAGTTTCTAATGTGCTCTTAAAATTTGAAAAAAGTTGATAATGACGGAATTTATGACTGTTTGAGTGATGGAAACTCACGTGTGCAGAAAAAACGAGTCTACGGGACGATTTTCCGAAGCATTGAAGTTACACATGTTTGAAAACTTTTTAGAAAGAAAACAATTTAGAGTTTGAATTTTTGTATCTCATTTCATGATACCGCTCTTGAAGATAGAATTTTGAATGAAGAGGATTTTATCGTAACGTAATCGTTGCAAGGTTCATATCACTTTTCGGGCTCGGTTATACGGTTTATTAAAAAAGCAGATTTGCAAGTTCGAAAAGAACTTGGTACGTTTTCAAAAATAGAAGTACCTGCGGTTACTACCTGCCTAAGTTTACGCAAAAATCTGGAAATGCTTCTATTTATTGAGTGAAATTTCATGTTGCCTCGATAACGTCCTCTGGGTGAGACAGAGCGCGCGGACTTACCACTGACCTCCACCTTCTCATGTCGGTGACGGCCTACACACCCATCATGGACCTAAAATATGCAAAAGGACACAATGGCTGCACAGGGGGTAGTAAGATACCCTTCGAAAAGGAGGGAGTCGTAAAAATTTCGAAATCTGCGCTACACACGATGGATCCAGCGTGAAAGTTTTGGACGTGGAAGCACTTGTTCTGGAGCTCAGGTCAAACTTGCAGGGAGAATTTTAAGTAATTTCATTATAATTGTTGTAGGTAATGCATCTTGCCAATTACTGTTTGCATTAGTGTTCCTGGTGCCCGGTTTGAAATGGTTGAGGCTTAGACTATCTACAGACATAGATATGGTGGTCCTAATACCGGTTGGCATCCAGTGCCAGATGGAGTCACGGCGCAAATCATCAAGTGACTGGTCAACGCAATCTCGCTTCATCGCCTTATCCTAGTATTTCATTAATTCACTTTAAACGATCAGGATCTTTTAGGAAATTTGTTTACAATAGTATTTAAAGAAAACCAAGAAAGGGAACACTGTAAAATTACTGGGCGCTCCCTGAAACAATTTAAATCTTTCACTCCCGTGAAAAAAGTTCTGTAGTAGCGATTCTGTCAATGAAATGACCACCCTCATAAAAGCGTTTACAGGATTTATCACCGTCGCCTGGATGCCGCCTGGTCAGATGAAGCAGAACCAAAGCCTTGCCTAGTCCGGATCGCCGCGCACGCCGCCGTGCGATATGCCGCGTCTCAGCCCACACTAGCCAGAAGTCTCGCACCCCCAAAAAAGCCAACACGCCCGATGTCGTTCGTGTTAACGCTTTATAGTAGATTTTGCAAGCTGAGTGAGATTCAAGTTAACAAGACCAATCATTGTATGGTGGGAAAGCAATTGTATGTTGCGTCTGCAGATCACAGATAAACTCTGCATGGTTCTGCGGTTTGAAAAAGAATTCCGCACGCAGAAAATTTGGATGCAGCGGTGCCCGCGACAAGATTGTAATGTTACCTTCCGGCACTCCCGTACAGTAACCCCATAGGCGAAAAATTGGCCGTCAGGTTTGGTGTAGGCACACCAAGACACTCTACCCCACGCCCTCACGCGCAAATTTGCCTTTAATGAATAGCATCGTTACAGCTCTACTAAAATGCTATTATTGGGCTTGACAGCATTCGTATGTTATCTTTCCCCAGGCTAGGAGAGCGGAAAATCCCTTCAATCTACTTGTTTTCAACGGCGCAATGTGGCTCGGAGGGGCCCAGTCGCCGCGCGCGGCTCAGCGATGTACTGTAACTCGGACGTTCCAGCTTCTCACGGAACATTCCAGCTTCTTACGCATGCTAAGTGACTGCCCTCACCCCCCACTCCCCTGAATTGGCTACATTCCCCCTGGCTCACGAATTTGCTGTTGCCCCAACGCCCTTTGGGCTTTCCTCGTTGGAGAGACAAAGAAAATTTGAAGGGATTCCAAAAGGTTTCCCTCCCGGGATGAGGATTGCATACGGCACCAGGTCTTCTTACAGATTAACCAAGAGAGATGGTTTCGATGTAATTACTTTAATTCAAAGGAACAGGGAATAAGGATTGAACGTCACGTTGATCACTGATGATTTGGAAGAAGGGCCAAACGTCGTGTTCGCACTTTTCATGAATTTTGTGACCCCCCCCCACCCTCTTTTGAGGAGAGTCTCGATAGGACCATTCCCCCTTAACATTAGCCTCAGACGAAATCATAGAAATCAATCACAAAAATGTCACTACCACAACTAAGGCGAATAAGAACCGAAATTCGGATTTTTCACGGGGATGCAATTATTAGTGCCAACTATAGCTTGCTGAACGTGACGCTCATGCCCCTAGGGTTAGGGCCAATGGTAAGTGACATTAGGCTAAGCCCAGAGAGGAGAGAAACGTCAGGGAGAACAAATTTGCTCACATCTTCCCCCAGAATCCCTTCCCTTCTTGGCGATCAATTCCATGCACAGTTATTGGCTCACTCACTGAATGTCCTCAACAACCCCCCCCCCCCCCCAGGACAGGAGCCATATCGCTATGTTCCTTCTTATGTTTTCCAACCTAAGTCTATTACCATCATCGCTAATCTCCATGCATTGGAAAGTGATTCGAATAGCAGAAACTTACATGCTTTGACGTTTTAAATTCCTCTGCAGAAGCCCGCGAAGGCTTGCCTCGTCCGGATCGCCGCGCAGTCCGCCGCGCAATTTGCCACGTGTCAGCCCGGACGAGCCAAAAGTCCGTAGCCCCTTTTTTGGCCATGTGGGCTCGGCACGACTTTGCGAGCACGATCACGTCACATACGCAGATTTCGAGCTCCAGATGCGCAAAATCTCAGATTCGACGTTGGATTTGTTCGATAACGTTCGATGTGACTTATCTTGGTTACAGTTATAGAAGCTTTACCAAAGTGAAATGTTATGGCAGGGAAAGGTAAATGTACTTCATTCTCGTATACCGGTTTCGAAATAACCCTGGTCGAGCTTGTATCAGCAGGAACACATCTCCTTCCGTTCGAGCTCGTTATTATTTACTTCTATCACTCTTTTTACCTCCATATTCACGTTTATTAAAAGAAAATGGGGGCGCAATGTGGCTCGGAGGGGGCCAGTCGCCGCGCGGCTCAGCGATGTAGTGTAACTCGAACGTTCCAGCTTCTCACGGAACATTCCAGCTTCTTACGCATGCTAAGTGACTGCCCTCACCCCCACCCCCTGAATTGGCTACATTCCCCGTGGCTCACAAATTTCCTGTTGCCGCAACGCCGCGCGCGGTGAGTCACCCCTCCGAGCTACATTGCGCCAAAATGGGGAATGAACCAAACAGACATTTTTGTGAGGCCTGGAAAACGTTTGCCCAACTCAAGCATATTCGACTATTCCAAGAGCCACGCCCTTATGATTATGTTAATGTTTGTTTCATTGTTCTCTTCTTCTCCCTAGCGTTAGTCCCGCGCAATCGCAGGGTCCGCTGGATGTTTGATTCATAGCATAACCACAATAAATAAAATAAATACAAGAATAAATCGGGCATGCGCAAAAAAATGCGTTTAAGGGCAGTGGTCAACCGGAAGGCTTGGTGATTTAGCGTTTTGTAGTGTACTCTGGGACTCTCGCACACACACACACTATTACAGCATCTCTGCTTTCTTTCCTCTTTTGAAAGGCTTAGTCCTAGCAATGCGCTTTTCTGTCTGGACTCGCACTCGTTGGTTGACCGCTGCCCCGTAACCAAAAAAAAATAAGTGAATTAGGTGGTGCATACATAGTTGCCACAATGCCCACGTGGCCTGCAAATGGCAATACGCAGTTCTCATGCTTTCGTCATTGTGTTAAGCTATTTCAGGATTGACCAAGACCTTGGGGCCAATAGCTTGCCAAAAGGCCTACAACTTTTTGCAAGAGCTTTGCGACACATTTGACCCCTCAAAACTTCTTTTAGTTTTGCGCGATATATATTATGAAGTTTCACTCTAAGCGTTACCCATTTAATCAGCAAGACACGGGGGGTAGAAACAATATTAGAGTGTATGAAAATGATTCATAGTTAGATTTCTTTGAGATATTTCAGAGTCGCGTGAGACGAGCTCCAGCTGTTTGGGGAGATGCGGCACCAGACTACTCGGCGGTGAAACTAGGCAATGCGCCATATCGTTATTTGTACACACTACTTTTTGTTGATGACAAAATTGTGAGTTGAAATTTCTAATCTTTTCGTTTGATATGATCACCATCGTCAGCGGAGCAGAGCTCACCTTATTGTGACATGCTGTCCTTGGGTTGACTGCGCATGTGAAAAGGATTTGTGATTGGTGGGTTTTCCCGCGATCACCAATCACAGGCTGTTGATCCAAGGTCAGGAAAGTAGCAAATTCATATTTAACACGAAATTCACTATATGGCTGAACACTATTTTCAGACGGGCTTCTATGAATATGATATGACACGGGTAAAAGGCAATATACTAAAAGTCGTCGAAGAAGCTAATACGGTAACTTTCATGGTTTTCATTCAGTATTTTTATGTATTAACATATGTGAGGTCTAATCAAATATGTGTAATCTGCCCTCACTTTTGCGAATGCGGCCAGTTGAAATGATTGCAAGGCGACCCTCACTAAGAGCAGGAAACCTCTCATTGGCTAGTCACTTGCAATACAAACCGGGGAAGCCCGCCCTCGCCCTCGACGCGAACTCTGCTTTGTTGCTCCTGTAGATGAGATGTATTTTCGATCAGAGCTATATTATCACCAAAAGTCTTTCAAAAATATCAGATATTGTGTCAATAAGATTTTTCAGTACTTCAACCAACTTCGCCTTGGAATTGTAGTGGTCGACGTATTGCAGACAATGCGCAGTAATCTGAGCCTTTATGGATTTCAAGAGTATCGTCGTCAACGGTGGGTTCTGATACTGCGAAACATCCTACTATATATAATTCGCTAAGTATCATAGTATGTCTGTGCGTATGTGTGTGTGTACGACTGTTTGTCACGAAATTCGTAGCTCGGGTCACAGCAATGATAACGCCATGGTTCTTACGTATGTTATGGAGGGTGGGATCGGGACACAAGTGGTATATTATAGGAACTGATAACGAGTGATGATAGCTGATAAGAGGGGCTAGAAAGTGAGCATAGCCAATCTCGTTTTGTCGTTCATATTGGTACTAGATCGTCTATACTTACAAGTGTTATGTGGGGTGGTCCGGGACATTGGTGATACATGAATGAAAGCGATAGCAATTGGTTAGGGCTTATAAGGTGCGTCAGAACGCAAAAGTCGTCAATTCCGTCACGAAGCTGCGTTGACACTAGGGCGTCCATATTGACAAGTGTTATGTGTAGTGGGACGGAGACACTGATAATGGATGATTGAAAGTGATTGCAGCTGATAAGGGCTGATAAGACGCGCCAGAACGCGAAAGTCGTCGATCGCTACCTGGCTCGCATTGACACCAGAGCAACCATACTTGCAAGTGTTATAAGGACTGGGACAGGAACATTGTTGATGGGTGATTGGAAGTGATAATTGATAAAGGCTGATAAGACGCGTTGGAGCGCGAAAGCCGTTAGCGCTGACACTAGAGCGTCCCTACTTACAAATTCTATTTGTAGTGGTACGTGCATATGTATTGCATAACCACCTTACTTAAAGAATCCTCCATGGAAAAAGCTCCGCCTCCATTACTACAGAAAAACGATACCTTAGGTCCCTAGCCTCATCGCCATAGCAAAAGAACGGAACATAAGCGCTAGTTTTGACAATACTAATCCTAAACACAAGAGAAAATGATCGCTCTTTCCGTGGAAGACTCCTTTAATAACAGTCGATCGCATAAACTCAATCAAGTCTTCAGCAAATGGTAAGTTTTATTTCTATCAAGAAAGCCCAAACTCATTAAACCGCTAATCCTTTCGGGGTTCTGAGTAATGGTGAATGTAAATAAATGATAAGCCTTAGCTCCTCATTTGTGTAAATAGACATATTTCATTCTCCTTTTGAGACTGACGGCAAGGAAACCCTATTTACCGCTTAACTGTCCGAATTCACGAAGAATGTTGGATGTTTACAGTTGTGAGATAACTCCAGACGTTATCAAGCGGTTCAGCTCCAGACGTTATCAAGCGTATTCTCGATAGACTTAAGCGAAACTGGAAAAGGTCTAACACATTCAATAGTGAGTTGGTTAATGGAGTACCTCATGCTTATATTCCATGGGTACTTCAGTATCGCTGAAGCCTGTCGTGTGATGCGCGCGATAGCGGGTGGAGTAAAACTGGTATCCCAATAAGCAACAAAATGTGTATCATATGTATGTAAAATGTATCACTCTTTATTTGGGAACATTGTCAACTAAGTTGCAATCTTCGCTATTTTTTTTAACTTCGCTAGCTATCATTCAGGAGGTGGGACCGCTTGCTGCACTACGCTGCTCTGACGAGGGAAGGTCATTTGTTTAGGCTGGCCATTAAAAATAGGATACATATCTATATATGTAACTCGAGATGCCGAGTTCAAATGCGCTTTCGTTCTCTGCGGGAGATTTCCTTGAAATCGATTCCACGACCTCCTGGCTATGTATCAGGACCACGACCGCCGCGCGTCCCTTCTTCATAACTCCTTTCTGTAAATCGTTCCACAGATACTGCAACCAAATTCGAACTCAGAGCCTCGAAACGTGTTAGATGTAGACATGCACCCAATCTGAATGACCAGCCTAATCAGCTAACCTTTCCTGTGAGTGCGCCACGCACCTACTTCTTTTCAAAAACATGCGAATGTTGTGCATCGAGCCCACATACAAGCAGCAATTTTCGAAAGTCGCAGTGTTTTCTTCTAAAATACCTTCTTGGCAACAGTTTGACTCTGTAAGAAAGGATGGCCTCAGTTCGAAAGGAATTCGATCTTAGGACTGTTGCTGTGAAACGTCGTTGCTAAACTTCTGTTCATGGCTTTGCATTTAGTTTGATGGGAGTAATGAGAGGTTCAGTGATAGGGAGAGAATCTTTGGAAGTTAGTTGAATCAAAATGCGCTTCAATGAATGCACAAGTATTTTTTTTACAATTTGAAGCGGGTTTTATTATATTATAAAATTGCATGACATTGAGGGAGGTTTCCATGTACACGAAAACCGCTATATTGTTTCAGCCTCCATAAGCTACCTTCGCATGATTTCGCTGCTCTGATCACGTATCGTTATGCTGGCGGTCTCGCATTTGTCGGCGGACTGTGCACGGACAAGGCCGTCATGTTGTGCGGGGTAAGATTTGTTTCATAGTGACACCAAAGGCGCTATCAAACATGTAACATACTAATTTGGAAGGGACAGTACCCATTGGATTGCTTGTATTAGTTGTTGTACAAACAGTGCTTTTGCACGCTCACCATCAGACATATTTTACTAGGTTGGAAAGAAAGTTCTGCGACACCCTTTCTAAAATTTTCTTTTTTTCTTCTGAAAAATTCACGGGTAACATTCATGACTAACAAACGGTAGAGCATTCTCGTGGCTCCAGTCCACACGGTGGATATAAGTGCTGCAGTCTTTACTTATCCAAGAAAATTCAAAAAATCTCGACGACTAGCAAATCCATACTCCGAGTCTGACGTGCCTAGTACAAATGTCTACAAAACTATGGATTCGTGTCAACGACTGACACTATCTGCAATAGCTTCTATAGGCATGCCGTTCAGCGCTACAGCGTGTATCAGCTTTACCAGCGCTTTCGATCTTTTGCTATTTTTACAAGAAACAGCAGCGTCCCATACACTCCATTGCCGGTAGGGCTCTTACGGAAACTCAACTACAATTCTCTTCAAGGGCAGCATTGTGTAGCTAGAGGTCTAGGCTGCGGAACTGCAGAAGCAGGTCGAAGCAGCTCGGCAGGAGCCCTCGTACCGCGACAATATTCATTTCTTTCATGACATTGCGAATCACCATGATCCGGAATGAGCCCTTACCCCTCTGAGCGTATTCCCCTGGTCCCCTATAAATGGCTGCCACCTCCCCTGAACCTTAAATCATCATCTTGATGACTGAGGTCGCCTCCTTTCTCGACCCGCACTCTGCTTAGTTTTAGCGAAGAAGCACCAAGAAATTTTCTGAAGGTTGGAGACAGGTGGTGGACACTCATGGTAGGTATAAGACCGGTCAGGAGTTATAATCAGAAAAGATAAAATTAAAATCAAAAATTCGGAAAAGTGTCGCAGGACTTTCTTCCCAACCTAATACTAGAACATTGGTTGGTCTGGTCTCAACTGGTCCTGGATTTGGGCTTGCACCAAGCGTTTATGGGGGCTGCACATAATCTTCCCGTAGTGAACGGCAAATCCCTCGCAATTGGAAGTAAGCGTTACAAAATGGAGGAACATCCTACGCTGATATCATGAAAATCCACATCCTCTTGATGTCTGTTCTTCCTCCACTGATTTCCAGGAAAATTCTACGGAGTTATGAAATTTGAGGATCCGATAGATCCGAAATTTGAGGGCCAAGCTATGCATTAAATTTGTATTTTTGTATGTGAGCGGCTAGATTTTGTACATAATGTGTTGAATGAAGGCAAAGCTCGCGATGAAAACCTATGCTTATGAAAGAGAAGTACAGGTGGTAGAAAAAGTAGAGGAGGATCAAAGTAGACGATACTTGGCGCTTTCCCGGCAAAAAGCGCCCTACAGCGATGATACTTATAAGGCGGTAAAGGTGCCCGTACCGCGTCCGGGACGTGTTGCGTTATTTTCTTCTTGTTCTTGGTTAGGAGTACCTTCCCTTCGAGCCACACTCACCTGCATCTATGCATCTCACTGATTTATGTCTTCGCTTACGCGTTTGGATGATTGTTCTGCGCATTGATATGATATTACACAACATATGAAGTAACTAATTTGGCTCCGCTCGGCAACGCGTGCATGTTGAAGTAGGCTTTAGTAAGACTGCACATGGCCAGGCTCTTAACCCTTTGGCGACAATGGCACCGACCGTTGTGTGCCACTATGACTGTCGCGTGGGACAGTGGCAACCTGGAATTTTCTCTCTACCCATTTAAAGCATTTTCAGCATATCAATAATTATAAGCAACCTCCGTTACGCCAATGTTTAGCATATTTTGCAGAAATGTTTGTTACTAGCTAATTTATATGGATTTTTAGGATATGGCACTTCGCTCGGCGATGTATTAAGTAGTGTTTTACATTATTAATGTAAAGGTGAATTACAGACCAGAAGCTCTACGCATTTCCACTCTTGAGACACAAGGAGTAGTTTGAACTATATCAAAATTCTATTGTAGAGGGGTGGAAAAAAAGAGACACTTCACTCCACATTTCAGACAGCGTTAATCAAATCGACTGCCTCCAACTCTGTATTGAAGAGCATAGTCTGATTCATCTAAAATCTACATGACAACCTTCTACAGCAACGACGTCAAAAGATTTTCCCATGGAAACATGGTTCACGGTATCAACGAGGCCGTCGAGGTACCATAGACCACTACTACGTCCCTTAAACGCTTGTGAAAAGCTGTTTTGCATAGTCACAGCTAATGTCTCTGGGAAGCTACTCAACAGTTGATCCATTGGAGAAATTATGAAGCAGCTTCAGACCGGAGCGATTACGGTAAGCCTTGATGAGCTCGGCGGTGGCGGCAGATGACGTTATAATGTGAAGACGGCGGGGGCAGCGAAGGAGGACCTGCTTCCGCTTACGGGGGAACATATAACGAATATTCTGCCGTGAAACTTTTATTATCGTCGGCTCCCTGTGCGACAAAAAATTCGATAATGTGCGCCAGGGGGAAGTGTCTTTTTATGGCCACCCCTGTACATTTGAACCTCTAGAGTTTTGAAACACCATCCCTTTAAATCCGAAATTTCTTTCCAAACTCTCACCACTAATTCCAACAATACATGATCATAAAGCTTAAGACTGCAGTCATATTTTGTTTATTGTCATAATTAAATTTTGATAGGAAAACTGCTTTTAGGGGGAATTTTGCCCAATTTTGTGCGAGAGTTGGGCGCGCAAAAAAGAGGTCCGGAACGAAGGTAAGGGCCCTAGACTGGCAATCAAATGTGGTGATTTACACCCATTGGCGAGGAAAAGAGAGCGTGGGAACGTGGACATGACCCTAGTTGAAACCGCCAGCCTCGCCATACGACCTGCAAAACTTGCATCCCTCTCGGACTTCAATCCTGGATGATAGAGCTCAAAGCCGGGTTTTTTGCCTTTGCACCAGGAACACTCGACCACACCACCGGAAGATATGTTGATGAAAGGTATGTATTGGATGTTGTTTGCAAATCTTAGTCTTCAAGCGGTGCTGATCCAGCAACCTTGCCAGCGGCAGCGTGGAACGTCCTCATTGAGCCAATGGCAAATTGCCATAGACGAAATAGTGAGCGTCCAAAACGTTGCTTGCAAAAGCTGCGTCACACACGGGTTTGAACATTCGGCGCACCGTCCCATGAGCGGCATCGCTAACTCTGCGCCATGGAGCCCTTCTTATCGACGGTAAAAGAGTTGTAGAGAAAAGGCAATAACCCACAAAAGTTGCAAAGATTTTGACATCTAGGAGTATCGATCCCGTGACCGACCCAACACCAACGTGGACCGCATGGGCTACACCATTGACGAATCAGTGCAATGTGCTTTCCTTTCCCTTTTTAGCACACTGCTTTGACCCACACAGCCGGTTGTTTGGAGAACGCCATCTCTAAAAACTCCGGAGGACTTTTCAGAGGTGAAGTAGCAGCATGTTTTCGCCCTCCACCGCGCGCGCACTATTTCCGTTTTCTCTGCCGCCATCGATGTTAGTTTTTGGATGACCACCCTGCTAATCCTCTTACTGGAAGGTGATGTCGTCCCCCCCCCCCAGTTCCGAGTGAGTTCGAACTCACTTCGACCATGCTAACGGGGAATCTTCGGAGGGGTTTTAGATTGCTCTACGCATACTCTAGGGTAACTTCGTTTGGAAGCCAAACCAAGTCACCACGAGCTCATGGTCACGTGTGAACTAGCAGTTGAGGCCACTTTACTACCGTCCCTGGTCCCACGAGCACGCGACGTGCAAATCCGCATTGTCGTCAGGGTTAAACTTACCAGTTGCATGGTTTTAATGGACCTGGCTGGTGTTATTTCTGGAAGGCTACTGTGGTGCTGATGATAAAGCCATACCCCATAGTTCTTCAATACCCATGAACGTCCATCATTTTTCGGAAACTAACATGGCCTAGCGGCCAAATAAGCTTTGATAGGTAATAAAATTACTTCAGCTGCCTTTTATCAGTCCTTAGCGTAAACAGCGTACTATGTTGAGATGATTTTCTGTTTTTTTGCATAATTTTTTTCATCCTTGCTCTTATTCATTAACAATATTCGGAAAGTCTGTCGAACGAAAACGATCAAATAGTGATGTGGAAAGTAACAAATGAATGAATTAATATTTTCCAGTTCTATCCATCATCTCCGTCTGCCATGGGGTCCATCTTCTTTCATGAGGTATGGTGATCAATTCTTTCGAAACTTCTGCTCGCGATTAAGCTGTCCAGGAACAGACTAGCCCTTAGCGTGCTAACATGGCGCGTCTGTGTAAGGCATGCATTACGCTGATACCTCTTGGAACAGCTGCACTTCTCAGTTTGTGCTGGAGCCGCATTGTCTGTTGAATTTGTTCTATTGGTACAGTTGAGTTAGGCGGTGTTTGATAGCGATAAAGAGGTGACGTCCATAAAATCCTGCAGCCACAGCAGTTAGTTTTCTACCGCTTCCCTGGACTCAAACTAAAGCACCAATTTGCTCTTGACAATTGCAAGAAATTAATAACAGACATTCATTTATAGGTAGCTCACTTAGTTGGTGTGCCACATCGCCCTGCCAATTATTCATTGTATGTATCAAATTGTGCATGTAAATCGAACAGGGATTCGAATGGCAACTGTTTACGAATTCCGTGAGTAAAATTGAAATTTCTTGGAGATCTGTAAGTTTAAAATCTGAGATTATAGCAAGCACTATAATAATGTGAATGAATGAGAAAAAGGTACTTAGAAAAACCAAATTTTTCTGAAGTAAAAGAAAAAGGGGTGACAAAAGGAAACGGATGAATTATTCAGTTTCAGTCAATCTCTTCTGGGATGCGTCATGCATCCCTCTTCTATAGAGTAATCCAGCGGGATTTAGGATGTGATTTTTCCTATGTAATGCATTCGGTGCCACTCCTTGGTCAATGAGGGTTTTGATTTTGCCAGACAAGTACGATTTCATCTATCAACATCGGAAAAATGGAAGGCTTGATTTTTTGAACGGTGTACGATTCATGATTTGTTCCCCTGATCGTGCGCGTGGGAACAGCGCGCTTGCAGTACAGCGCGTTTCATAATTATAAAAAAAAGCTAAAAAAAATAAAGATAAAGCTTTTGCCGTTGATCAATCCCGTCTTGGGATGCGGCACGCATTCTACTTCCATTTGTACATTCGTAGTGGCGTTTGAATGCGATTTGTACTATACAATGACTTGCGGAGGCCAGCCGATGTTCAAGTCAGTGTTTTTTATCCTCCCAGACAAGTCTTGTACCAATTAACCGACCCCGGAGTTATGGAAGGCTTTGTTGGCCCGGGCGACTCACGACTCAGGATTTGATCCCTGGACCGCCAGTCAACTGGTAATTTTTCCACTATCACCAGATGATTCCCCACTATTAACAACCCCTGTATCTAGATTTTGGAGAAGGCAGCTTTTCTTCGAACTTTTTTATAATTAATTTTTGGTTTTCGCACCGTTTCATAATTGTAAGGTCACCCTGAGAAAAACAACAATCACCTGAGCAATGATTTATAAAGAAGACATAATAATCTATGGTTCCGCCTTTATCAAGGGCAACACCAAATAAGTCTCCGTAGCCTAGAAATTGAGATTCCAAGGTAGATGACCATCGATTTACTTTAGTGTTTCACTGGTTGCTTTTTTTTTCAGCTCTTTTTAAGTTCGCAACTAGCGTTTATCCGCGTAATTCTTTATTACAAAGATGCCCCTGAGATCTTCTACTAAAATACAACTAGAACTTTAAAATGATAATCTGGTTTCGAGAGAAATGCTTCTTCTGGTTGAGTGAGCAACATGGGTGCCTATGCTGTTCTGTATGACCACGTAGGCTAGCCGACTTAATCAGCTCAAAGGAGAGGCTATGTACATGTCCTTGCAAGGCTCTATGCTAATCTTTGGAGTCCATTATGCAGTTCATGAAAGTGAAATTTTGACCCAAAATCATTACAAAATACACCGACCTTTGACATCTCCTTAACTGAGATTGCAAGCGTTGAACTGAATCGGTCACCTTCACGAGCCACTGCAAAAGGGTTTATATATGCAGAAAGGTTGGTCTAAACCAGTCTCATCCGAAAAATTCCAAGCCTACTGAAATCATCTGCTGTATGGTGCGATTGCGGCGCAGGCTCAACTTTGTTCAATCTCCCTTTAAGTTTAACTTAACGGGTTGATGTTGTGCTTCCTAGTAATGGCTACTGAGCCTTCGGACCATCTTTGCAGCTTTCCTGGCAATGTTGTTGCATCTTTTCACCGCTCTCTAGCTCACATTTTTTAAAGATAGAAACATTAAATTACGCGCCATGCTGGTTTCAAGAGGAAATAGTGTTCGGGACAGCCCTCATAACTCCCTCTAAACATTGATAGGAACCTTTTTTGTGGATGTTAGAAACTTGTAAATATCTGGAGACGGAGAAACATTTCAATTATCCATGAGTGGAGCTAAGAATTTACCAAAGTGCTCTGGAAAGACTCCTAAACCGTGCCGAGCACCATGAAATGCATAAAGTTGACCTTTTTTTCAAAAAGCGAATACGAAACATTCCATAAATTTGGCTAATGGGTGTGTTTGTAACGAACATTCAATTTCACAGACAGGTTGCTTGTTTCTGATAAGGTAGTATCCATTTTCACAGGGTGGCCTTGTAATTATGAAACGGCGCAAAAACTGAAAAATAATTATAAAAAAGTTTGAAAAAAGCTGCTCCCGCCAAAATTTTGCTCCTGGGGTTTTCAGTGTGTGGAATAAGCTGCTAATACTAAAGTACCAGTTTGCTGCTTGTGCTGGAAATGCAAAATTTAAGGGTGACCTTATAATTATGAAACGCACTGCATACTATTAGGTTGTAAGGAAAGTTCTGGCCATTTCGGACATTGAAGTTCGAATGTGCATTTCTCGACTCAAACGCAACGTTTGCGATCGATAAAAATCAGTTGGATCTACACTTCCTTGCGAACCTTGAATGTGTTTGATCAATCCGTTCACTGGAGGTACTGGAGTTCTAGAGGAGATGAACGCGGCGAATGTCGTTTCACCATCATGTTAGATTTCGTAGCATTTCCCCCTTTTAAGTGCTATCCAAACCTTTGAAAAAGTGGCGGTGAATAGCGAAGAGGTCCAGGAAAGGGCCTTCGGGACATAGTTCAGTACTTCAGCTAGTTCTTTTTTGCAGGGTCCCTTCTGCGGTCAACGGCTGCGCTGCATCGCGTAAAAGAGTCGGCCCATTTATGGCAGGCCTTGTTGGGCGCAGGCGTCAAGATTTTGGGTTCCGACACTATGCAAGAATATTGTCTCACTATATAGCTGCAACTGTACTCGAAGAGCTGCGCCTGCTGTAGACCGCGTAACAGGCCGAACAACCTTCTCCTCGCAGTTTCATTTTTGCGGAATTTTGTTGACCCTAGTCGTGATCAAACACCCACACGAAGTTCGTACGATATTGGGAAGAATCCATTCTACGTTCATAACTCTCAAAAGAACAAACACGGGTCGTTTTCATTGAGTAAAAGATTGAGAAGAAAGGCAGACGTAACCGCGATTTTTCGCAGCACCTCCTTCTCGACTTTTCCGTGCTTTTTAAGCTATGTCATGAAACTTGGATCCACAGATCATATACGCTCGACTCGGCAGCAGTTCTCGGCTGTTTCAATCACATTTGGTTCAGTCAAACGATTCAGGTAATTTTTACCAAAGTTCGACATCCAACGATCACCTTCGCCAACTTTGAGGCTATCGGCATCCCTACACAAGCTTCGAACTGTCGCTTCATGACTTATTTTCCGCAAATGGCCAAACGAATAGTTCATATCGTAAGCTGATTCCGTTCCTTTCGGCCCTAATTCGAGGTAGAAGAAGAAAATCGTGAGAATTCGCTTGATGAGCATGTTGCGTTCAAGGCTTCAAATAAGTAGTATTAGTCCCTCTACGGCAAAGCTTATTGCACAGTTGGATAGAGCAAAAAACGCGCTTTCTAAAGATACGCAACTCGTAGCAGTCTGCAGAATACTTAGCCAGAAATAATGGAATGAACTTGAACTGTCGAGAACGGCCAGAGCATTGCTTACAACCTAATACATCCACAAATACTTCCGCCCTCCCCTCGCTCACACCAAGCTAGTAAAACAAAAACAAACGAATCATATAGCAGAAGATTTCTTATTACATCACTGTTTGTGTCGGCATAGAAGTTGTTTGACAAGTTGTGGCTTCATAACAAAACGTGGGTGGGGCTGCCAGGGGCGAGCTTTCTGCTTCATTGAGAAACGCCATTCAAGAGCCAACAAATCGAACATGCTTCGAATCAAGACCGAGCATCCAATTTTTTCGCATTCTTAAACATGCACGAATGCTCGAAACATGCGATCTTCAAAAAGCACCAACTCAAACGCTATGTAGGACAGCTTTTATTATAATATGGGAGCAAATATTTTTGAATCTAGAAGTGCCATTGCCCTGCACTAAGCTTCATTGCAGTGACAGAATCCGTTGGTCTTTACTGAAGCTCCTTCCCTCTTGCCGCAGACTTTTACTCGTTAAACACGCTTCTTACCCGTTCCCTTCTCTTTTGGGAACTTGGCATGACCTACGCACTTTGGAGTGGCAGTGTATTCCGAGGATGCTTCAGGAATAACCTTCGTCCTATCTGATTAGCACAGTTTAGTGGACAAGCTCGTTGCTCTGACACTGAGGATGTCTTTCGTACATGTCGCTCTGGGAGACCTCTGGGCTTGGTAACGGTGGGAATTAGGAATTCAAGCTGGAATAATGCGAAGGATAAAAAAACAGATAAAGCCCAAGATGGTACCAAAGTTGCTGTGGAGCTTATTCAAGAAGATCGGTTTCTAGATCCAACGAAGTGGAACCTGGTCTTAAGTCTTTTCACTGCTTCATCTGACAGCGTGGAGGTCCACATAAAGTACGGGCGATGGTAGCCATTTCTAGGCTTCTGCCCTCATTCGTCTTTTACCTCGGAGATCATTGTTTGGCTATAAGGATGAAAAGTTTATATGGGTCCTATTCGGACAGCGCCCTGCTTTCTTCTCCTTTCAAGGGTGATATTCCATCACTTACTCTATTTGACATCTACACCTCACTCCGTTCTAATTACAAAAACCCTGCGCAACTTTGCTCGCCGCTGCAGCCCCGTCTCTGCCATCAATCTTCTCAACAAATGTGTCCTACCAAAGTACTAGCGTTCTTGCCATAATTCACTACCCCAGTGGTCGGAAGTAATCAATCGTGGTTCACATCGAACACGCTCATTGCTAGCAGCCAGAGTCCTCTACACTCTCATACACACTAGAAGTGAGTAGCACTAATCGCTGTGGCATCCCACGCCTGATTTCATTTCAGTACGAGGTATTCAGGGTTACCAGTGGGTATCCCTATATGATTTGCCCTCTCTGAAACTCTTTTTACGGTGAAGCTGGGGTTCGGGGCAGGGGCAACCCTATGCTGCAAGTACTAGGGGGTCGTACTCTTTCAATGGCCGGCAGGGAGATTTCTCGTAATCTCCCTACTGATCATAGATGGTGTTACGGAAGGAAAGAGCAATTGCAACGCACAAAGTGAGTATGTGAATG